TCTGACTTTGTTTTATGAGCTCAGGTTTTCAGGTTTCAGTTTGAGAAGGTTCCGTGTGGAGCTTTAAAGTGCAGCAGGTTTTTTAAATTCTTTCTTTGACGGGGAAACTGCAGATTAATGAACATTTGTAATCAGAGTAAATTCTCATTTCTATTTAAGTTTTATTTTATTTTGTTCTGTTAGATTTAGAATTTTAAATCACGCTCAATTTCTCACTTTGAATTTTTAAACTATGAAAAAAAAAAAGGAATTATTTTATTCTGAATTTGAGTTTCTGAAATAAAAACAAATAATAAAAAATTCACCTTTTAAATATTCAGCACAAATATTTTCAAGCCTTAAATTCAACAAAACTCACAGTATAAAAGCTTAGACAAACTTTAATCCACAGGGAAAAGATTTAAACACAGGAGTCAAAATAAAATATAAAAATAGAAATACTAAATAAAATCACAAAATAAAATAAAATATAAAAATAAAAATACTAAATAAAATCATCACAAAATAAAATAAAATATAAAAATAAAAATACTAAATAAAATCATCACAAAATAAAAAAAAAAACAATATAAAATTATCAGAAAATAAAATAAAAATATAAAAAAAAATACAAAATAAAATCACAAAATAAATTAAAAAAATTAAAATACAAAATAAAAAAAATAAAAATACAATATAAAATTATCACAAAATAAAATAAAAATACAAAATAGAAATAAGAAAAACAAAACAAAAATAAATCACAAAATAAAATAAAAAAACAATATAAAATTATCAGAAAATAAAATAAAAATATAAAATAAAATATAAAAAAATACAAAATAAAATCACAAAATAAAATAAGAACAAAGAAAAAATATAATAATTAGCATAAATAAAACATAATTATATAAATTTGAATGTACAAGTCAAAATAAAATATAGATATACAGTATTATAAACAGTTTGAAAACGTGCACTTAAGATTTGATTTAAAATTTAAATAAATGAGTGTGACAGGTGCGGTGTGACAGGTGCGGTGTGACAGGTGCGGTGTGACAGGAGCAGCTGGTGCCCTCTGATCCTCAAACTTAAAGGATTAACTCAGCGCTGTTCTCCCCCTCCTCTGCTCCACATCTTATTCTCTCTCTCTCTCTCTCTCTCTTCATCTCTTTCTCTCTTTTCTTTCCTTTTCTTCATTTGTCTCTCAGTCCTCGCTCCTGTCCTCCCTTCAGCTTCTCTCACTCACTCTCTCGTTCTCAGCCTCCTCCCCCTTTATCTCTCTCTCTCTCTCTCTCTCTCTCTCTCTTCATTTCACTCGTCTCTCTCTCTCTCATTCTCTCTTTCTTCAAGCGCTCGGCCTTTTTCCTGTCAGAACTTTCCTTTCTCTCTCTCCTTCTCTGTCCTCCCTCTCTTCTTTCTCTCTTCTGTCTCTCTCTCTTCTGATGGGTCGTCAGTTTCTGGTTCTGGTCCTGGTTTTGGACTGGGTCTCGGTCCTGGTCTGGTCCCAGGTCAAAGTCCCGATCCCGGTTCTGTGGATGGTCCCAGGTCCGGACTCTGGTCCTGACTCTGGTCCTGACTCTGGTCCTGACTCTGGTTCTGACTCTGGGCCAGTCCCAGATTCGGTCTCTGGTCCGGACTCGGCTCTGGTCTCTGGTCCGGTCTCTGGTCCGGACTCGGCTCTGGTCTCTGGTCCGGACTCGGCTCTGGTCTTGGCTCTGACTCTGGCTCTGGAGGATCTGAAGGAACATCCTGGACTCCTGAAGAACCACGAGCTGCAGCTGCACAGACTGGAGGGGGTAAGTCAGATGCCCTCCCCGTGTGTCTCCATCCAGAATCAGGTCTCAGGGTCTGAGCAGAAACTCCCAGACTTCCATCACCCCAGACACTTCCTCCAGCTCCTCCAGTGGGACCTGAGGTGTTCTCAGTCCAGTCCAGAGACATGGTCCCTCCAGTGTCCTGGGTCTCCTCCTCCTCCCGGCTCAGACATTTTGTCTCTGTGACCTCACGAGCTGCAGCACGTTTGACCCGTTGGTTCCATCAGGTGCTTCAGGAGCCAACGACCTGCAGGTCTTTCCTCCTCCACCAGTGAACCAACTCACCACCAGGTGGAGTCTACAGCTCTGACTCTCTTCACCCGAGTGTCCAGGACACACGGCCGGAGTCACATGACACAATCACAAAGTGGATGATGAAGCTCCGGTCGAGGACGTCCTGGTGCCACGACGCTGATGGACCTGGTGCTGAACATGGTGCTGGTTCTGGACAAACTGTGACGAGCACAAAAGTCCAGTACCAAACGTGTTGTTCACGTCACAAAAGTCTGTGATGTGTCCGGTTGTGTCAGATGCCCTCCCGTAGACCGTGTTTGTGTGTTTTTCAGGACGACCCCGCGGCGACGCTCAAGTCGCTGTTCGAGCTGAAGGGGGCGGGGCTTGAGCCGCTGCTGCTGCTGGGAGGGGCGTGTCCTTCTGTGACATCACTGATCTCACCTGCGCTACCTGCACTCGATCTGGTCCAGGTCAGAACCAGGTCCACAACAGGACCGAACCAGGACTGAACCAGAACTAAACCAGAACTGAACCAGGTCTACTTCTTGTTGCAGGTGTCGTTCTTGGCCCCGCCCCCCTCCGCTCTCTCATTGGAGGGGGCGGGGTCACATGTTCAGCACGGTGCCGTCTGATTGGTGGTTGAATCGGGCCCTGGTGAAGCTCCTGAACACCCTGAACTGGACCAGAGTCGGTCTGATCTCCCAGAAGACCCCACAAATCACCCAGGTCTGTGTGTGTGTATGTGTGTGTCTGTGTGTGTGTGTGTGTATGTCTGTGTCTGTGTGTGTGTGTCGGGGTGTGTGTGTTTGCATGTTCTGCCTGTGTGTGTGAGCTCGGTCCAGACCAGGTCCAGACCAGGTCCAGACCCGGTCCAGACCGCGCTGCAGGTTTAACCCGGAGACTCTGGTGTGTGTCCTCAGTCCCTCACAGACCTTCTGCTGCAGTTGGACCAGGCTCAGGTCCAGGTCCTGTCCTCTGTCAGGTTCTCACACGACGCCTGCTCCGCCCTCAAACAGCTCAAGGTACTGAGGTCCCCGAGGTCTCTGAGGTCCCCGGGGTCTCTGAGGTCTCTGAGGTCCCCGAGGTCTCTGAGGTCCCCGAGGTCTCTGAGGTCCCCGAGGTCTCTGAGGTCCCTGAGGTCCCCGAGGTCTCTGAGGTCCCCGAGGTCTCTGAGGTCCCCGAGGTCTCTGAGGTCCCCGGGGTCCCCGAGGTCTCTGAGGTCCCCGAGGTCTCTGAGGTCCCCGGGGTGCCCGAGGTCTCTGAGGTCCCCGAGGTCTCTGAGGTCCCCGAGGTCTCTGAGGTCCCCGGGGTCTCTGAGGTCCCCGAGGTCTCTGAGGTCTCTGAGGTCCCCGAGGTCTCTGAGGTCCCCGAGGTCTCTGAGGTCCCCGGGGTGCCCGAGGTCTCTGAGGTCCCCGAGGTCCCCGGGGTCCCCGAGGTCTCTGAGGTCCCCGAGGTCTCTGAGGTCTCTGAGGTCCCCGAGGTCTCTGAGGTCCCCGAGGTCTCTGAGGTCCCCGGGGTGCCCGAGGTCTCTGAGGTCCCCGAGGTCCCCGGGGTCCCCGGGGTCTCTGAGGTCCCCGAGGTCTCTGAGGTCTCTGAGGTCTCTGAGGTCCCACTCCACACTGTCTGAGATGTTTTGTGTTTGCAGGACCAAGACGTGAGGATCTTCATCGCTCAGTTTGAAGAAGACTCTGCCTCTGAGATCTTCTGCTGCGTAAGACCAGGACTAGACCAGGACTAAACCAGGACTAAACCAGGACTAGACCAGGGCTAGACCAGGACTAGACCAGGACTAGACCAGGACTAAACCAGGACTAAACCAGGACTGAACCAGGACTAAACCAGGACTAAACCAGGACTCTCTCTCTCTGTCCTCAGGCCCACTCTCTGTCCCTGTTCGGGCCCCGGGTGCAGTGGTTGGTCCTTGGGGCCGTGGGCGGGGGGTCCCTCGGGTCCCTCGGGTCCTTGGGCTGGTCTCGGTCTCTCTGCTCCACCCAGAGTCTCCTCACGGCCGCAGAAGGTTCCATCCAAGTCCAAGTCCAAGGTCTGAGGTTCAACCAGGAGCCAGGAGTCTCCGGGAGGGTGAGAACTAAACCAGGACTAAACCAGGACTAAACCAGGACTAAACCAGGACTAAACCAGGACTAAACCAGGACTAAACCAGGACTAACATCTACAGTATTTAAGTATTTAAATCAGCTCAACAAACGACTAAGATTATTTTACATTTACAAACTCACCAAAGTATCAGATCCCAAAATAACAGGACTTTTTCAGGTTCTTGTTTGTGTCTCGTCTTTATTCTGTTTCAATCACAAACTTGATTTTTTACTGAATAAATTTGTGGTCACAGTTTGTCAAAGTCTGATCCTGTCAGATCTCAGCTTAGAGGTCTGGACCTGGTCTGGACCTGGTCTGGACCTGGTCTGGACCTGGTCTGGACCTGGTCTGGACCTGGTCTGGACCTGGTCTGGGTCTGGTCTGGACCTGGTCTGGATCTGGTCTGGTCTGGACCTGGTCTGGACCTGGTCTGGACCTGGTCTGGGTCTGGTCTGGACCTGGTCTGGTCTTGGTCTGGACCTGGTCTGGGTCTGGTCTGGGTCTGGTCTGGACCTGGTCTGGATCTGGACCTGGTCTGGGTCTGGGTCTGGACCTGGTCTGGGTCTGGGTCTGGGTCTGGACCTGGTCTGGACCTGGTCTGGGTCTGGTCTGGATCTGGACCTGGTCTGGGTCTGGGTCTGGGTCTGGACCTGGTCTGGGTCTGGGTCTGGTCTGGACCTGGTCTGGGTCTGGATCTGGACCTGGTCTGGGTCTGGACCTGGTCTGGGTCTGGACCTGGTCTGGACCTGGTCTGGGTCTGGTCTGGACCTGGTCTGGATCTGGACCTGGTCTGGGTCTGGGTCTGGGTCTGGACCTGGTCTGGGTCTGGACCTGGTCTGGGTCTGGACCTGGTCTGGACCTGGTCTGGGTCTG